GGCTAATTGGCACAGTGGTGCTAGACTGCAAACATGCTAACATGTTCACAATGACAAAGCCGTTGTTGATGTTTTGCAGGTATAGCTAATGTTTGTCTTGTACATCATCTTAGTTTGGCGTGTTAGCATGCAAACATTTGCTAATTTGCACTAAACATAAACTACACCTGAGGCAATTCAACTGTTGTGGAGATTGTTCATTCAAAACCACAATTGTGAACCTCATTGGTGGCACTAGAGGAAAAATTAGAACATCACTAAGTCAGTAGGATTCGTTCTCTTAGGAAAATGTGCAAAATGACATGGCAATCCATAGTTATTGAGATATTTTTGTCTGGACCAAAGTGGTGCGTTCACCAACTAGGAGACCAACTTATAAACAGACCGACATGCTGCTACCATGACTAAACATCAAGAATGAGATGTTGCGACCACAGCTGTGTCAAGTACACACCTGTTCCACTCTCCCTTTTCCATTATCAGACTCTAGGACTGATTATATTTTTTAATGGACATTCTGTGAAACTGTCTGCTTTTCAGTTCCTCACTTTAAAACTTGAGAATCCATCTCAGTTTCCTCAGTTCTCTGCCCATCTGATGACATTGTCTCTTTAATTTACTCTCCCCAGAAATCCTCACTGCTAGTGTTCCTCTAGCTCTTTGAATGTTGGGTTGTGCTTTGAGGTCAGACGACCTGCTTTCACAGTGGCAATTTCGTGCTTCAATTGTAAAACGTGCTATTGGTTCATGTCCAAGAAGTTCTCCTCTAAGATTATTATCAGTTCAACCCAGCTTTTCCTAATTCAGCAGACAAGAGTATCATTTATTGATAACATAATTGTAGTCTGTTATCTCTTTTAAAGATTCTACATTATCTACCTGAATTGTGCTGTCACTACCTTTTTCATCTCATAATTCATAAACTATCGGGCTCTCTTTGAGGAGGCCAGTCTGTCGTGTGGCTTCCAGGTGGATCTGACCACAAGAGGTCAGGCATGACAAGCTGGGGCTGAGTATCTCAATCTTTGCCTTTGGTCTACACGAAACTATACAAAACTACTGATTTAACTATGCAAATAAAACATGAAATGCTTCAAACCAATAAATTCTCTGTGTAATTTAGTTTCAATAAAATAAAGCAAGATAATTTTTCATAATTTTTTTTCTATTAATCCATTATTTATGCATTCTAACCAATTTTCATCCTCTCTGTGCACAGTTTCACTTTGGGACAGACACCCAGCTGTTTACTTAATGAGACAGGCACACATCCAAGCAAGGCAGATGTTAAAACTTGGCAAATAATGTGAAATTTAAATGAATGGATGCATAACACTGCAGTAGCAAGTGTGCAAATCTGAAAGTCTTTCTGATCTTTCTCTATTTTATACACACACACCACACGCACACACGCACACACACACACACACACACACACACGCACACACACACACCTCTTTGTTATTCATACAGTCACACATGCACACACCAATGCACACCATGTTTGCTTTTCCCTTAACCAGTTTGTATTTGACATGCCTGCTCAGTCATGCCCTGCTCCTACCCCCCTGTGGGAGAAGGTGTTAGAGCGTTTAGCAGGCTACAAAGCTGAGAGGCGATAAACTAACTACAGCAGAATGAGGTCTGGACGCAGAGGCCAAAATGAGCTGGCTTTCGGGGGAAGCCACATTTCTGTTTGCACCACCATGTGTCACCTGTGCAAATATAAGGAAATGGAAAACAGACGCTCCAAATTCCTACCCAGAAAACGATGATATCCTGTAGCTTTTCAGATTTTGGTTGGATGATGTTTCCTGTGGAAAACTTGACCCGACTGATGACATCCTCTGCTAAATAATGTTGTTTTGGTAGACTGATTGTCGCCAGTCCAGGTGACCACTGGAGAGTTCCTCCCCCTGCAGCCATCATATACTCCTAATAGCTTGCAAGCTTATTGAATTACTGAGGTGGAAAAGCAGGCGAATGCGTAGTGAAGGGTCTGTTTTGGTCAGAGAGGAAGTCTTGCTGGGATGAAGAATCATGATTGCATAAAAAAAATCACAGCGCATTGGTCAGGCAGAGTTGTGAGACAACGTGACAGCGACCAAGTCTTTCAGTTACTTTATTCAGAAGATATTATTTGCTTTTATCTAATGAAAATTGTTATACGCAGGTACCACAAGAAATACATTCATGAGTTACTATTTAGTTTGGTGTCCTTATTTCTCATTGCCTTTCTTTTTCTTTCATAAATATTTTTCTCATATAAATTTAAGTGGGTTTTGTCTATAGTTACATTTCCTTGGTGATTAAATGACTCCTGAATAAAAAAAGTAAACAAGTCTAGACAATCAAATCAATGTTGATCTGCTTACGGCTTGAAATACCAAATTACCATCTCTCCCTTTGGGGTCACAGAGGCACCCTGTTCAGTCATTCCGTAGTCTTCTTTACATAATGAAAACCAATTTGAAATTTAATTGTTAGCCGTACTAACTTGACTGGAATTCATGAGATGTATCCAAGCCAACAGCAAGGGCTTCTTTTTTAATCATAGACATTCATTTATGTACAAACTGGCCTTGCACAAAAAGCCTACACACTAAGTTTGAGGCTACGTTTGTTCACTGTAGTCTTTGCTTCCCCCCTCTCTTTATCTTTGTTTATTCATGTACAAGTCATTGTGAAATTCTTCAGGGGTTATGTGCTTACATTGTAACCAAGGCTGTTAATGGCAGGGTGGTATTCAGCCTGTCCTGTGGATAAGAGTAGCAGCTCCACTTCCTTCTCTGTCACTCCATATTGTTACCCTTTCCACAAGTTCACACTGAGCTGCCTTCAAGGACAGTCAGAAATATAGACATAATCATAAAAAAAGTATTGTGTTGTGTTTTTAGCCTTTTACATAGCCTGATGAACTTACCTACAGTATTTAATAAAGTGGCCCATTAGTTAAAAAAACAGTCCTTTCGACATTAATTTGACACTTAAAGTATCTGCATTCATATTTTTAGATATCTACAAAATATACCTCAATGTTTTGCTCTGTGTCTATTTACATGATGTTATTGTGCATGTGTGGGACAAGTGTTTATATTTCACATGGTTTGGGGTGTATGCATAAACTGGAACTCTTTGAATATTGTAGTTAACCTACTGTAATTTCAATTTGTATTTCAAATTACAGTAGATTACAGTAGATACACTTTATTCATTGTATTTTGTAGTATTTGTGTCTACCTGCGTATGGAACTGCAGATAGAAAGCAGGCAGTGTATTATGTGTACATGGTCCTTGACTAATACATTTAAAGAAAAATATTACCAGTGTCACATCTGAAGCACAAAAATGTTGCTTGATCTTAGTGACTTTGTTCCTCTCTGTTAGGCTATTATTTCTGAGAAAACGGAGCGTGTAAAAGCAGAGACGTTTTAAGTTGAGAAAGTCCTATAATGCTTATGAACTTTGAAAGAACGAGCTGCACACAAAGGTAGCATCCGCTGTCGGACAGCCTGAAAGCAACAAGCTTGACCGGACGAAACGCTCACTGCTGCAGTGTCGTGCACTCTGATTTGACTGGACTAGCAACAAAACGAGCATATTTAATCCTCACTAAGCGTTGTGTAGGTAAGTATTTTCTCGGCTATGAGATGTAGACGTTTGCCGATATAACGGCATGATAAATCGGTTAAACTTTCTCCTGCGCTTCAACGACGTAGGTGGAGGGATGCCCCCCCCCCCCGGATGCTCCAGCCTACACCCTCATCCTGAAAAAGGAAAATAAGTCTTCAATCGTAATGGACCTATGTTCACTTTATTTATAGGCTGCTTGTAAGGACACCTGCAGTGGTCAAAGTCCGGACTCTCCGTGGCAGGGCATATCATCCCTGGAAGAAGAAACCATTTACGTATCGAGGTAACGTTAACTAACTTGTTAACTGACGATGCCATTCAACGCATCATTTTCTAGTTTAAGTGCTGTTGGTGAAATCACTAACCACATTGACAATGGGTGCCTGACTAGCCTAGATAATTAAACAGCAAATTGTAAAATAGCATGCCATTTCTCTGCCAGTATAAGTTAAACTGTTTGCTTCCTAACAGAGAGATAAAACGTTTAGCCTTTGTGGTGACCTTTGTTTCGCGCAAAGTGGGGTCACAGGTGACTTAATCAGGTGAGGAAAGGGCGGGAACTACACTGTAACCAAGCCTAGTCACCTTGAAGGCTATATTGGTGTGAAGTCCTATATTTTTCTAATGCATTTTTTTTTGTTTTTAGTCCACTGCAGTCAAGATGCTAGCAATTTGGCTGTTAATCTGCATGGTTTGTGATCCTAGAAGTATGGAGTAATTTATAAAAAGTTTAGAGAGCAGGTTCACCCAAATTACAAGTCAAACATTTCCTCTCACTTACCTCAATTTAGCCATGGAGATTGCTTAGGGGTTTTTTTCGTACCAAAAGTCTGGAGATGTCCATCTTTGATGTTTCTGCTTTCACTCCATTGCAATAGGAGTGAAGAGGCAATTATTTCTCTTGGGGTGCTCACAGCATTGGAAAAAAAAGTGTCTTTCCAGAAACAGTGCCCCAATTCTCTAAATAAACCACAGAACTTACTGAGAAGCACAGTATAATTGTGACTAGACCTACTTTTTCCTGAAGAAATCATCCATGTGAAAACGGTTCACACTGGGCTCTGGATTATCCAGAGCAATGGCAGAAACTTTACGTAAAAAAATATTACATCTTAATGCTGTGAACACCCTGAAGGAACTCCTTTCACTTCCGTCGTGTACCTGTATGAAGGCAGATCAGTATCTCAAAACCTGGACAAATAAAACCAAATGAACCACCCTTTAAACAAGACAAGTAGGTTGTTTATGTACTATTCTGAAGTTTAGGCCTGTTTAAGTATCATAAAGAATCAAACGCTTATTAGACATACTGGTGTATGACTCCCTGGTCAACAAACACAAAACCTTCACTAAGGTCTTTCCACTGAAGGATACTATGTAGATCAATGTTATGGGTCTAAGTGCTTCCCGCACCATAGCCCTTTTATTTACAGAACAGAAACTGTGTGCTCAATTAATGATTCAGGTTTATGGTCTATTCAGTGCTATGAATAATTTAAAGATGTGGATTGAACAAGGAGGTGATGGTGTGAACTTGGAAACTGCATCACTTAGCAACTAGTCAAATGTACCCCGATGGAGACCTTTATAAAACAGAAAAGTATAGCACAAGGGGTTTCAATGAGAAAATAGTGGTAGAAGTTGGAGTGTAAATGTGAGCTTGTTTAGCTTGTAAGTATGATTGAAATGTTTTCAGTCATACTCAGAGGCCCCTTCAGATTGTTGCTTGATGCTACTGTGTGATCAGCTGGGAGTTGTGTGCAATTAGGAGGAGTACCAATGTGAGAACTACGCCTGAGTAACTTTTATTTTGTAGCATATATGACTTCGACAAAGCATGCAAACTGTAAATGCTGAAAGTTTACCTGACATTACTGCGGAGATGTTGCTTTAGATGCGTCATTTGAAAGGCAGCTGTATCCCTTTGGCAAACAGAATCACTCTTGATTACTCTCACTTGCTGTGAAACACATTTTTATGCAGAGCATAAAAAAATACTGACAATGAGTGTCAGCCAGTGTCGGTGTTTGTGTGTTAGCTGTTTTATCCTTTTATTATGTTTCATTTTCCTTTCCGTCAGATAAAGACAATGGCATTTGGGTTGCAGAAGCACAACTTGAGTATTATCGGAAGGAAAGTACTTAAGTTATATTCTGAATTTACATTTGGGGTCATATGAGCAATATACACTTGCAATTTAATTTTTGACAGTGTTGTTTACATTTTTAGACTATTTTGTAACCAGCCAGTTTATTAATTTGTTTGGGATTCACGGTTAATTTGTCACGTTTATTTGTTTTTTTGTGTATTGTTTTGTCTTGCTAGTGTCTTGACATTTTGGTTTGAAGGGGGAAATTGTGGTCAGTCGGTAAACTGTGAGGCTCATCGTTCATCAGTCAGAAGTATCATCAAACCCTCACATCTGAGACAGTATTTTTCTACAAATCTTTTCTGAGCAGTATCAAGACAGTTAAAGTTTTGTTAGTGTGAAAGCATGGAGTAATTACATTTTGTTGTCAAATTTTATATTTCCTTGCATTGAAGGAAAACAATCTGCACTTTCAGAGTTGAACTGGAGGAAGGAAGATGTCGGCGGTTTATAAAGATGCCCAGGAGGACTGGCTGACGGTGTGTCTCAAGTACCTGCTCTTTGTTTTCAACTTTCTCTTCTGGGTAAGTGAGACCCTTAACAATGGTTACACTTTTTAATCCTTCTTTTCCTTGCATGTCCTCGGAACGTGGTGCTGAAACAGCATTAAGCTCCAAATGGGAAGCCTGTGCATTGCAGTCATATCGACAGTTCTCACAATGACTGTAGATATCAATAAGTCATGTTTTTAAATACAGAGTAATTAGAGCTAATGAATGGGAAATCATTGTATTGTGCTATAAGACACAGTAAAACTGCTTCAACGTTCCTTTAAAACTGCAGGCAGAGAGACATTAAAAGGACGGAGCCATGTAGAAACAGGAAGAGGATCAATGAGGGTTCTGATTCTGAAATGGCTGAGCTATGGACTCGGCCCAAAGTGAGTCATAGATTATTTAGGGCTTGTCAGTGTATGATGGGGAACAGTGTCAAACCTGCTCTCCCTCTCCGGCACCACACTTTATGATACTGCAATTCCCTGCTTAAAGTGTATATGCCCTTGCAGCTACAGTGCAGATTGTCTGGGGTTACTTTGGAACATTTTCAAAATCTGATGCAAAGAGAATATTGTCTGTAGACAGAGAGACAGAGACGGATCTGTGTGTGGGAGAGGTTAAAGAGAGAAAAAGGGATCAGGCTCTATCTTCAGGCTTGGGTTAATGTAACCCTGTCACCACCTTTAAAACTCATCTTTTGAGGCAACACATTGTCACTTTGTTAGTCTTCTCTATTTTTGTCCACCACTGCACCATTAGAACATGCATCAGTCATGGGGCCAGTACATAATTTGTCAGGACATGGCTGGCTTTTCATAGCCTGAGCAAGAGTAAAATACAAAACTTAGCTAGTCATCGTCTTGCTAAATATCAAGTGTATCTACTTTGATATGGATGCAGCATATTGGTATAATGCATCCCCTCTAAATATATTCTGTAAGGAGTTTCAGAGGATTTGTATTCAATAAGTGGTTTAGATACAGGATTGGGATTTGATAAACTGTTATTGAACCCCAAACCTAACCCAAGCCATGTCAGTTTACTTACCTTTTAAAGACATGTGAATTTATTATAATTCAACGGACCTTAGGTTATCTTACTTGTTCCTAAATGTGCTCTAGTTTGGCAAGGGCCACCTCCCTCTGGGCCCTGCATGTATTCAAGTAGTGCCTACTTGACTGGGCATGCGTTGTTGTGAGTTTGTGGATCTTGATTTTGACGGAAATGGAATGGGAGGATGAAGGTGAGAGACTCTCTGTGGCATTTCCTATCCGTGCGCCTGAAACTGATGAGAGGAACAGATCTGGGCACCGCCCCTTGGTCTGTTATCCAGGATTGTTTGTGAGGAAGTGCTCATTATACCATGACTTGACCTCTGAAGTCCTGCTCCTCCTATAGCTCTTTATGCCTTTGCCACTTCTTTCTTTCGTTATTCTTTCTATTTCCTCTCTTTTTTTCCTTACCCTATTTATGTTCCTTTCCCTCTGACTGGTGTACCTTTTTTTTTTTTTTTTTAAATCCTCTAACAGCATTGAACTCGCTTCCTATTTCTCACTTCGTGCTCTCTAAAGTGCTATAGTTTGTGTTTTTAGGGCCCGAGCACGACCGTGCGAGGTCCCTATTGAATCTGCTCGGATATATATATTTTTTTTTTTTTTTTCTGCAAAGTAGGCCCAAATGACATGGCCTAAACATACTCGAAAACTCACCAAAATTTGCAAACATGTCAGAACCGGTGAAAAATTTCGTATTCTACAAGTTTCGCACATGGGCGTGGCAAAATGACTCGCTAGCGCCACCTTGAAAATTGGAAATGATTAGCCCCTCGTTCACGTTCAACCTACATGTACGAAATTTTCTGGGGACATGTATCGTATCAAGACGCACAAAAAAGCCTCAAGAACCCATAGCCTAAAGTCAACAGGAAGTCGGCCATTTTGAATTTTATGGCCATTTTTGGATGATTTACATACTTCGTACTTTAACGAACTCCTCCTAGGGATTTAGTCGGATCGACGTCAAATTTCTGCTGTGCCTTCTAAAGGCATTGACGATGAAAAGTTGTGCTATTTGCGCGTTTTCGTCAATGGGCGTGTCCGTGGCGTCGATGATTCGCAATGAAACAGGAAGTTGTTGTAACTTCAGTGTACATGCTCACATCTGGACCAAACTGTACATCTGGAGAGAGTCCCGCCCTGAACACATGTACATGCCGACATTCACCCACAGTCATAGCGCCACCTGCTGGCAACAGAAAGTGACCTTTAACGAAGCAGCCCCCCCGCACGTTTCACCTATGTGCACGAATTTTCTGTGGTACGTGTATCTTGTCCAGACGCACAAAAAAGCCTCTTGGAGCCATAGCCTAAAATCAACAGGAAGTCGGCCATTTTGAATTTTACGTCAAATTTTGGATGATTTACACACTTCGTACTTTAACGAACTCCTCCTAGGGATTTAGTCCGACCGACCTCAAATTTGTGCTGTGCCTTCTAAAGGCATTGAAGATGAAAAGTTGTGCTATTTGCAAGTTTTCGTCAATGGGCGTGTCCGTGGCGTGGCGTCAAAGATCAGCTCTTCGCCATGACACGGAAGTTGTCGTAACTTCAGTGTACATGCTCACATCTGGACCAAACTGTACATGTAGGATGAGAGTCCCGCCCTGAACACATGTACATGCTGACATTCACAGACAGTCATAGCGCCACCTGCTGGCAACAGGAAGTGACTTTTAACGAAGCAGCCCCCGCCGCACGTTTTACCTACGTGCACGAATTTTCTGTGGTACGTGTATCTTGTCCAGACGCACAAAAAAGCCTCTTGGAGCGATGCCCTAAAATCAACAGGAAGTCGGCCATTTTGAATTTTACGTCAAATTTTGGATGATTTACACACTTCGTACTTTAACGAACTCCTCCTAGGGATTTAGTCCGACCGACCTCAAATTTGTGCTGTGCCTTCTAAAGGCATTGAAGATGAAAGTTGTGCTATTTGCAAGTTTTCGTCAATGGGCGTGTCCGTGGCGTGGCGTCAAAGATCAGCTCTTTGCCATGACACGGAAGTTGTCGTAACTTCAGTGTACATGCTCACATCTGGACCAAACTGTACATGTAGGATGAGAGTCCCGCCCTGAACACATGTACATGCTGACATTCACAGACAGTCATAGCGCCACCTGCTGGCAACAGGAAGTGACTTTTAATGAAGCAGCCCCGCCGCACGTTTTACCTACGTGCACGAATTTTCTGTGGTACGTGTATCTTGTCCAGACGCACAAAAAAGCCTCTTGGAGCGATGCCCTAAAATCAACAGGAAGTCGGCCATTTTGAATTTTACGTCAAATTTTGGATGATTTACACACTTCGTACTTTAACGAACTCCTCCTAGGGATTTAGTCCGACCGACTTCAAATTGTGCTGTGCCTTCTAAAGGCATTGAAGATGAAAAGTTGTGCTATTGCGAGTTTTCGTCAATGGGTGTGTCCGTGGCGTGGCGTCAGAGATCAAGTCTTCGCCATGACACAGGAAGTTGTTGTAACTTCAGTGTACATGCTCACATCTGAACCAAACTTTACGTGCTTGATAACTCTCCCACCCCGCTATGGAGGACCGATCCTGACACAGTCAGAAATAAATACAGAAATAAATAAATGCTCAATAAATAAATAAGCATCCAATTAAATACACAAAAAAATTAAGTAAATAAATAAATGTAGGTAGTAATTAAATTATACAAGGAGACATAAATGTATATATTTTAATTAGTGCCTTTACTTATTCACCTTGTTATAATTACCTTATTGTTTATTCAACTTTATTTATTACTAATTTTTTAATGTATTTATTTATGTGTGTGTTTTAATATTTTTGTCTGTTTTATTCTTCCTTTGTATTTATTTACCTTATTTATTTTCACCCATGGTATTATTTCTGCCTGTCTTAAATTTTGTATGCATTTCTGCCTCATTATGCAAATGAGGAGGGCTGTGTCTCAAGGGGTCATCTTCTCTGCTATTGGTGGACCAGTCAGACAGGAGAGCTCCTACTCTGCCTGCAGACATCAACGATCTTGCCCCTCACACAGTCAGATGGCTTCCTTCAGTGCGCTGAGGTGTTTAACAACTCTGAAGACAATACTACCAGCAATGTCTTCCTTCTCTTTCACGTAGAAGCACCGACAGACAGTGCTTTCAGTTTGCTGCATGCATGGACACAGAACTGCGGTATAGGGAGAAGCACACGGTCAGCTGGCTGCAGCTAAATCTGGAGTGCACTCGTATTCAATTCTGTATGGTAAATTCAGTTTTAACGGAGCAGAGCGAGCTGACAGGCAGAGTTAGAGACTTTTTATGTCCGTTTCTCTCTTTACAAAGACGCATGTTGCAGTCAGAGTCTTCTCTGAGATGCGAGCACGACATACAACACAATTTATCAAATTACACAACGGATATACAGTATGAAAATAAGATTGATTGGATTATACTCACAGGAAGTATAAACCTCTTACATGGGTCTATTAAAAGTAAAGTAACACAAAAATGTCAGGGAAATTACTTTACTTAGATTTAAGTACTGCAGTTGTACATTTGAAATACCTTCCTACCTTTCTGATAGGAAGCCTTCTTGAGGTGGTATAAAACATTTCTTCTATTCTGATTTGAGTTGTGGACAACTATGACCACATGAATTAAAAAAACATTTCACTGCCCAAGTCAGCTATGACACAAGTCTTGATCATCAGACTACATGCTGTACAGTATTTGTGGACAGATTTTGTCCCAGGATTTCTTATGCATTTCTTCTTCTTCGTTGCATGATTTAGAATAATAAGGTGAGAAATGGGTCTATTCTGAGTTCATCCTGCACTGCAGCAGCTAATAAAGTCCATTTAATCCCCAAAACGCTTTTCTTTTAGGCAGGCTAGAGCAGAAAACACTCACCTTTCTCAAGTTGTACAGTAATGTCACATGTGTATGAAGGTGGATCAAACAAGCTAATCTTAAATGTCAAAGTAGAGAGGAGCCTAGTAGGCCTATTTATTTCATTCATTACACAATATGAATAAGCTATGCAGACAGTTGTAAAGAAAGAACATCTTTTTCTTCTGTTCTCTACTTGTTATAGTTACACAGTATAGGGGTGTGGGCTGTATTAAAAGTATCCACTGTCTCCCATGCTCTAACACACGGTAACGATGTAATGTGTGCTGTTCTCACATTCTTCCTCTGTATGTACACATAAACAACAAGGCAGGGAAATATAAAAGGAATTTATTTTATGTTTGGGTACATTATTGTTCAGTGTACATGCTCACATCTGAAACAAACTTTACGTGCTTGATAACTCTCCCACCCCGCAGACATCTACACGTCAATACCGATTTATATTCATAGCGGCAAGTGCTATGTAGCTCCACATAGGGGACACAGGAAGTGACATATAGCACATTCATGCGGCGTCATAACCGCGTAGGAAATTCACAGCCGCACCGGCAGAGCTCCAGAATATGCAACTCGGCCGGCTCACGCGCGGACGCGCTACTAGTGCGAGGGCCCGCCCAACGCTGCTTGCAGCTTTAATTTTTTATTTGTCTTTGTTTAAGATTGAATTGATATGACACACTCTATGTTTCCACAGTATTTAATTTCTCTGTTCAAGTCATCCGGATCTCCTCTTTCTCCATTTTTGACTCATACCGTGCTTTTATTATGCCTTTTTATCTGTTTTTCTTCTCTGGAACCTTTTGCTGCACCCTTATCAGTTTTATCGTATCTCTTTCTTTACTTTTATACTCTAATATCTTTTTACACCACCACCTCTTTTCTCCCTCTCCCTCTCTCATCCAGGTGGGTGGAGCAGCTGTTTTGGGTGTAGGAGTCTGGACACTGGTGGAGAAGAGTGACTACTTGAGCCTGCTGGCCTCCAGCACTTTTGCTGTATCAGCGTATATCCTCATCCTGGCCGGCAGCCTGGTGGTGGTTACGGGCTTCTTGGGCTGTTGTGCTGTCATCCGGGAGCAGAGAAGCTGTCTATCCATGGTGAGACGGGGGAGGGGGTTCCTGCCTTTGTGTTTTCATATAAAGGTGTGTGGTAGACGGTAGAGTTTATGTATGTGATGAAGCAATGTGAATTTTAACAGATTTGCTGGAGTGCTTATTTAAAATCTTCGAATTATTGGATGCTTTTACAAAAATATTGTTTGAACACATATTTGCTTTTACAGGTAACAATTTCAGTGCGGTCATTACAAATACAAAGAATGGTGCTTTTCTCCGGACCGAAAACCACTAAAATACCCTTGAGTAAGTAGCTGTGCTGTAAATGAAAAGTTGCCAGCAGGACTGCAGTTTTACTGGGAGGCTATTCATTGTATGCGAGTGAAACTAAACCAACTTAAATGTCCGCTGGTCAAGAGCAATCTATGCTGTGGAGTAGGTTTGGGTGGTATCGCGGTATTACAGTATAGCAGGATATTTAGAAATACCCTTGGTATGATTTTCAATACCGTCAAAAATACAGTTGCTTCTCTTTCTGATACAAAGATGCTGTATTGAGCTAATGTATTGTGGCGGGTGAAACTACATGAAACTGCCTGACATCATCTACAATGCAACAGCTCCTCTTCACTTCACACACGGGAGCTTCAGCTGCAGCCTTTATTCGCTGACGAACTGTAACCTACTCTGCACCTTTACTGCTAAACTTATGCGCGCGCCTGTGTAGAGCAGAATGGCTGTCCACAACTAACCACTGCGCTGTAGTAACGTTATAACTAAATTTCCACAGAAAGCAACATGAAAAACAAAGGGCAGGCTTACAACACACTACCCTCGTTAGATTGTGAGCTTCAAATTAGCTAACCTTTAAAATGAACAGTTAAACAACACAAGACACGGCAACACTTACAGCTTCAAAGTTTGAAGATGGGTTACGTACAGCCCATGGCAATCTGTCCTTGAACCGTTACAGAGCTTGTTTGTGGAACTTTTTAAGCACTAATGTATTAATTTAACACACCCTGAAGTGTAAAGTATGAACATTGTGGTTGTTACAGCGCTTGCCATCCTCCGCGGTAGGCTTGACCACTAGGTATTTCAATTTTGCGGTTATTGCGACAGCCCTGTTCTCAGCCACACACTCACTACGTACACAAAAAGGAGCGAATCGCCAGCGATTGTGAGTGGTGGTAGGGTAACGTTACAGGACTAGTAAACAAGAAAAAAGCCCCTGCTTCTGTGGTTAGTCCAGATGATAAAGGTGCACCAGCTAACACGGACGAATCTATGGAAGAAGGCGCTTATTCCCTATCTGTACCCAGCAAGACGGAAGACTCCTGTTTTTCATTGCCCTCTCCCGGTTTTACAATTCTCCTGATTTCCCATATTTCTATGTATTATATTCATCTCTGTTTCTGGCACTGTACAGCGTGTATAAGCCCTTCAGCTCTCACTACTGTTTCTATCCAGACAGTTAGCATGTGTGTCACTCCCCCACCCCCCGCTTTTTTACACAAATACCTTAATATACTGTGTATATACCCTGGTGAAATGTCAGGAAGATATGAAAAATTAAATACCGCCCAAGCCTACTGACGACTGAATATCATATCACAGAAGATGTGCGTTATCACATTTACCTCTACTGGTGAAACAAACAATTTCATCATCTGTTAAGCTGGGCAGACATGGTGCGATTTAACCCCTTTGTCTATTTTGTCCATTGACAGTGCAGATTAGAGTTTACCAGAATTTCTGGCATGCCGGAATCCGATCTTACGAGATCTAGATCGGTGATTGATCAGGTGTAGTGAAGGGATCTGATAAAAATTTTGTCCAACTCTAAAATGAGTTGCAGGTGACCAATTTGGGGTTAAAATCAGCTTTAGTTTCATTGCCATATTGCTTTTGCAGTTGGCAAAATTAAAAAAATTCCATTCATTTTCTCTGTCTCAATTCCATACTGCTTACTAATGCTGTATAGCGCACTATGTACAGTTGTTTGTAGTAAAATTTTCCTTTATTTAGTATATAAGAAATTAACGTACTACCTTATCATTCAGAAATCAAGCAGATTTGTTATGCTTCGGGAAAGCTTGTAGTCTACAGAATGTTGTCACTTTTGCAGTGTGAATGCACTGGATACAAAATGGCTAAGATACTGTAAAACAAACTACCACTCATGGACTGAAGGGGTCTTCAGAGTCGGACCGCTCATAAAAGCTTAATTCAAGGCACACTTGGACTTCATCACATTGGAGGGAAACATTTTTCAAACACTCGATATAGAAAGGTTATGTTAAATAGCAAATGTTGAAAATGCTGCAGCCATGTTCTCTCAAAAGTGCAACTTCAGTGATCACGAGGGCAACAATGCTGATGGTCCAGGCTACTTGTTAGTGGTCCTAGATTTTATGTCCGCTCAGAGAAACTAGATGCTCACCCACATAAGCAAAGGTTTGCTTTCTCTGCAGAACTGCATAACAGCTACGCAACAACGTAACATGGAACTCATCCATCCTCTTCCTGGTCTGAACTCCATCACTGGATGCTGACAAATGGCCTCGACAGGACCCTTACAGTCCTCATTATTTTACAGAGACAGGGCCCGGTGGGAGAGAAGGAGGCGGGAGGTGAACATTCACTGCCGCAGGACTATTTATAGGTCTATCTATCTACGGTTGATAGATGGAGCAATAGAAAAGAAAAACAGGCTTGCAGGAGTGAAGAGGTAGATATGTAGAGGATTTAGTCTGTGGTGCATTTTAGTTGAATATCAAATGTATGTGATATTTATAGATTAGTTCAGCGTGTGTGTGTGTATGTGTGTAAAGAAGTGGTGAAGGTAGCATTCTGAGTGCGCAGCAGGCCAACAGAAACCAATTCTTTTGAAATCTTCTGACGAAGCGATAGAGAGCAGGCTGTGTTTCTGCATGACTTAATTACTGTGATAACTGTAAAATAGAAGAGAACGTTAATTCACTGAGATCACTGACTGTTTTTTTACCAGTAGTTTGCCTTCACTTTGTTCCCTGTGTCACGCAGCATTGGTTGTCTGAACTGTTGTGTCCCACTTTTTGACAGGTGGGCCTAATTAGTTTTGTGTGTGTGTGTGTGTGTGTGTCTGCATCACGTGGCATGGCCCATGTTTGTGTGTGGTATATGAACCATTTCATGACCAGTCAAAAGGGCTTGTGTTTCTTTTAGCTGGAGAAAGCTGGAGTTTTGATCTTGCTCAATCTGCAACTCTCTGTCTGAGCGCTCTGAATGTGTGGGCGGTGGGTCTGTTTGCTGCACAGTTTACATAACTACATTTCAGTACGTATAGTGCTTATCATTAATGTTGATGCTTAGAATTAGAGCAATCAGTGTTTTCTTTCTTTTCGTTTTAGCTGCTGAGATATTGATTTTCAGTTAGACTATTCTGATGTCTGATTCATTATATTACTGGTTTTCCTGACGAATACATGAATGTTGTTATAATTAAGTTAATTTTGATCCATAATGGAGCTGGTTTCCAGCAGTATGTAGAGCTCTTTAAAAGATGCTCGAGAGAAATCTGATTCTGCAGCCTGTCAGATTGTTTTGCGTTGTCTTCTATTGTGCGTCAGTGCCATCTGTTAGAAGTGACAGATGCAGCACAATGGCAGTTGATCGAAGTTTTTATTGAGCCGCCACCAGTGTGAGCAATTTTCTCAAATGAGTTACCTCAGCATACTACTCTAACTGGCTTGCTGTCTTTATCATCCACAGTATTTCTTCTGCCTGCTGGTGATCTTCTTGATTGAACTGGTGGCTGGAGTGCTGGCTTATGTCTATTACCAGAGGGTAAGTGTAAATAACTAAGTGAAGGATTATCACTGCATTTAACTGTACGTCCCAGGGGTCGCTTGAATGCTTCGGTTTTGCGCTGAAAGGAGGAGTAAAAAACCTTACTGTTTCAGGCCAGATGACCAAGATCAGACCAATCTACTGTGATGTGTCTTGTGTAAAATATTGTCATGTTTTATGTAGAGGATAGAATATAGGATGAAGACAGTGAGGGTGTTTTTCTGAGAGAACGATTTAATTTACATTGATCTAAGTGTGCGTTAAAACAGCACTTTCTGCAAAATGGCAAGTTATAGCTCTCCAGTGAAGACACTTTTAAACATACTTAATTGTCAAGATAGCAGAAACTAGGGAAATAATTTGGAGGCAACCCTGCCTCACCCAATTATCCTTGAATGTATTAGAGATGCTTATTTATTTATGAAAAATCCCCGTTGACAGTTTGTTTCTTTGTATAGTCTCCACTAGATGCTCGCTCTGCTTTTGTGCATCTTAAGGCTCAAGCATTTCTGACTCATGTTGATTTTGATGGCTTTTCCTAATGCACACTGAGGCTGCTGCTGATGGATAGCTACGATTTCACATTGTGCTTTAGGCATGGGCCGTATGAGATTTTCACAGTATGATAATCTTAAACAAAAATATCACTGTATCACGGTATTGTGATTACAGCTCTAAAATGTGGTCTGTTTTTTAAATGTCTGGGTAAAAAACACCTTTGAATACAATATATTTTATTTTTAAGCAACAACATGTGCTACTGCTGCTAAGAATAATATCAAATATCACTGTACAATATTGATTTATTATAATATTGTTATTGCAGTGATGATGCACATAGACACATAAGGAGAGAGTGTGTCACGCACACACACATACGGTCACTCTCCGAACAACAGACAGTGGAAAAGACACCAGTCTTGAATTTAGCCAAGAGTGATGGGTGGTTCTCCCGTAGGCAAACTTAGTGTTATGTTCGGTGTCTGGAGTTTATCGAACACACAGTTCTCATGATCTTGCTATCTCACAAAAATCTGCCTGTCAGTCAACTAGGACTACAAAGAGCACCACGCTGTCTGCGGCCAAGCTCTGAGATTTATTATAACGGAAAAGGGTTCAGCACAGGATAGAATCACTTTAAAGATAAGGGCTCTCTCTCTTCCTCCTTGTCTCTCGTGTGTGTGTGTGTTGTGTGTGTGTGTGTGTGCGCACGTGCTTGCAAATGCACACATAAAAGGCTGTATTTCAAGTCTATTTTTTGCAGTGTGTTCATCTGTCTTTTCAATCACATCACTCACAGATGCGCGGGAGTTTCCACCGGTCTGTCTTGCCCTAATCCTCCCACTCTTTCATTTTTGTCAAGCTTATCACTTCAACACTCTCACCTTTGTAGTCCTTCCATGTGTAATAAATGAATCAGCTTGTGGGTACAAAATAAATTTTCCATAAATACCCCACCTACTTTGTCACACGCACACTGTTTTTCACTGTGTGTGTCTGCTGTCTCTTTCTGTGTTCCTCATTTCCAGCTGAGTGAGGAGCTGAAGCAACATCTCAACCAGACTATGACAGACAACTACGCTCAACCAGGGAAGGAGGCCATCACATTAGCTGTGGACAGACTACAACAGGATGTATGGACTACATTTACAAAAACCTCTGTGTTTGGTTTATGTAAGATTATATGCTACACCAGTGGGCCAGAACCGGCCTGCCAGCAATAATATCTGGCCTGCGGCCAGATTGCTTTGATAGCAGAAAAAAAAAATAAATAAATTGATAGTGGCTGGTGCTGAAATAGATATCGGTCATGACGGATACAGTTACTCACACAATCACTTCCTCTTAAGTGATTGTGGCTGCAAAATAAAAATGCGGGAATGTTAATTGCAGCAATGCTTTATGCTGAGTTTATTGAAAGATTTTACTTTGAAGAGTTCTGAAGGACACACCTAAGAATGTAGAAAGTTGCGTGGCGCTGCGGAGAGCCCTCAGTTGCAATAGTGCATGGATCATGCGTAATATTCATCCAGCCAACGATTGCGGACCGTTCACAGCCTGTCGGCACCGGAGAGGGAGTGGGCGGAACAGGGACAGGAGATCGCAGAGCGACTGGACTGCTGCGGTCGGTCAGTGATTGTTTCCTCTGGCGGGATGAAGTCTGACGCTCCGCTTGATCCATGATAAGATTATTGTCAATAAAGCATGCTGTCAATATTTAAGAGACCCAAAATATCACAAATCATGCTTTTAGGGGAGCTGATGTCTTATAAGGGGGAGCTAAGGTCCCCCTGCCTACTCCATAGTTCGCACCCTGAATTTCCTGCGGATCAAATGCCGGGCGCACACACACTGTAGCAGTGCCTTATTGTGAGCGTGTGCAAAAGTGTCCTTATAATCAAGTAATAAGGGGAGAAAAATATACGCAGTTAATTGGAATTGATCTTCCAATCTTCCTAACAGGAGTCCCACACAGTACCTAGTGAGCTAAACATGAGTATAAGAGGATTTGAAATAATTAGACTTTGTTCTGGCCCGCCATATAGTGGCTTGAAAAATATTTGGCCCGATGCCACACTTATTTGCCGACCTCTGTGCTACACCTTCCTTCAGTAATCATGGTCAAGTATAGTCACACTTTGTTATAAAGACGTATTCCATGACTTAGTCTGCAGCTACCATATGTGAAGTAGCTTTAAATTATGCTGAAATTCAGTTGAAGAATTTGGTCATACCTCTGTGTTATCCATTATGGTTTGCTGAACACATTGTTCCAAAAAAGCTAAATTAATTATCTCAGAGATGAAGGAACGCCACTCCCTTCAGTTACAAGAATGTCAAAGTTTACAGAATACTGATTTGAGGAAGTTGTTTGAGCCAAATACATGAATCTGAGTTAAACGTTGCAGTAGCTTAGCTATTATGAAAAAAGAGGGATTTGTGCTTTTCTAACAGTGTGTGACCTCATGAAACAAACCTTTGCTTTCCTCTTTCTGCCTCTCCAGTTCAAGTGCTGTGGCAGCAACAACTCCCATGATTGGATGGTGAGTGCATACATTTCATCAAAGGTGGCAGAAGGCAGGCTGGTGCCCGACAGCTGCTGTAAGACAGTTACCCTTTATTGTGGCAAGAGAGACCACCCCTCCAACATCTACAAGGTGGAGGTCAGTGCACTACACGTCGCTAGGAAATAGAAATGCTAAATGATAATGTTCACTGAACATTGCTTGCCGACATTAGACAATATCATGAGTACTTTTGGGATGTTCCCATGTCCTGATATTTCCCTTGTTGAACTAAAATAGTGACAGAAACATAGAAAACACAGTACTTTCAAAGTTTTCTCTGATAAAATGAGCTTTCTAGAAATGAATAAAAGATGAGCTTTTGAATGCTTATCTGTGCTGCTTAGGTGAAGCTTTTCCACCTTTTTCTGTCAAACCCTTTAGTTCCCTTCTCTGCGCTCATGGTACACTGCCTGCATCATGTGCAAAGGCATAAACGTGAAGATATACTTTCTAGGGCTGTACCCGAGTATTCAAATATTCGATCATTGGGTACACATTCGATTTTAAATTTTGAGATTGAAATATTTTTTTTGCGCACCTGACCTCCGCAAACAGCAGTGAACGTAATACCTTCAGAATAAAACAAAAACATGTCCACTGGGAAAATAGGTAAAAGTGGGCTGAAAATGGACTTCAGGCAAAGCTGGACTATACCAACTTTAATAAACCCACATATTCCTGGCAGGATGTTTTTCTTTTTGCAGTTGGATATTAGCCATGGAAAGTGCGCGCCTGTGGCTATCTGTACAATGACATGTATTGTTAGGGCTGGGCGATATAGCCAAAAATTACATCACAATAACAAATTTTATATCATTTGATATTGATAATTATCAAAATAAATGTCAAATCATTATTTCTTTCAAGTTTAAAGGCTGATTTTTGCTTGTTGAAGAAACCAGATGGTTAATTGTGGTTTTAAACTAATCTTCATGGTGAGAATATGACACTTGCCAAACAGTGGATAAATATCTTTTATCTTATCAATAAAAAATAAATATCTTAATAGAAACATTCGGTACTAATTTGTTCGTGGTTGAAATTAATAAATTACAAACTTTGAATATTTGTTGTATTGTTACTGAGTAAAACTATATAGCAATAATTATCATTGTTGTTTTATTGCCCTGTCCTATATATTGTTTATTACATGACTTTTAACTTTCAGGCTTTTGACTCTGCAGGGTGGTTGCATCACCAAGCTGGAGCAGTTTCTGGCTGACCACCTGTTGGTCATTGGTGCTGTGGGAATAGGAGTGGCTTGTCTGCAGGTTAGTGAAATATGATGTGTGCTCCAGATAGTTGTTGAAGAAGCAGAATACTTCATCTTGAGTAAACTGTACTTTATATAAGTCCAGATATTATTTTATCAAAACTAGAGCTGCTGCTTTTACATTTATGTGAAAAAGCATTTTGTTGAATCAAATTGTACCGAACCCAGACAGATGAGTTTTATCTTTCCGTTATTGAAAATGTACCATCGCAGGTCAACAACCTCTAAATGGACACTTCATTTCATCTCACCGTCTCAGTCATTATCTGTTTTGTTGTTCCCCCTGTTATTTGATTTCTCTCATCTGAGATGGATCACAGACTTACAATTCAGTGCAGGGCTGACAGTACTCTTACAGCTCTTCACTATCCCTTTGTAAATCAACTTAAGAGAACTTGAGACCAAACAAACCTGCATTGATTCTTCCCAGTAATTTTTGTAAACTTGATAAGTCCTTTAATGCCCACCATTTGACATACTGTTCAGGCAACATTTTTCATTAGGCACATGGCATCTGAGAATAAAGCCAGACAACCTGCTGACAGAAGACCAGACGTTCTATATTGTAATAATCAAAGCAGTTGACATGTTTTTTTCCAACTCAAAGTAATCTGAAAGTGTTATGCTAAACATATAGAAGATCAGGTGCTGATTATTATCCACTAATGTACAATCCAAAGTGCTAGGTCAGCCTGCTTAGTTTGTAATTTAACACTTTTCAATCCAAGCACATGTTTGCCTTCATTTTTACATTAGCCTTGTATTTCTTTTCTTTGTCAGTTGTTCTGGTTTGTCTTAATGTCGGTGTACTTTCCTGTCTCTTGTCACCGTCAGACTGAATGAAATGTAGATTTGCTGTGTTAATTCAGACTAGACACTAACCTGTCTATGGTGAATTGTACTGTATGTCTTTATGTGCGTGTGTGTGGTGTCACTGTAGCTGGCCGGTGCAGTCTTGACAGCCTGCTTTATCTATCTGCTCTATAAAGAAGAGGAAGACGACTTCGGTGCATTGTGATTTAGTTCAACAGCGTCTTTGTGGTTTAATCAACTGGAGATTTGAGGTTGGAGGGTATTGTGGAAATTGGATATCTTACTGCATGTTTGTGCTTGTGTGTCTGTCCGCTCTGTGTTAAATGTGAAATCTTTGGGCTCCGTGTATGCTAAATGGAGACATTTATAATCTTACTTGATTTTATTTGCTGAGTGTGAAGCATGCAGCTGCCTGGCTTTGGCAGTATATTGCAGATTGTCGCTCTGCATGTTGTGCTAATGGGCTGTTATGGCTGCTGAAAATGTGATAAAGGTCAAACACATCCTTTGAATGGCTTGATTAATGCTGCTTCTGCACTATGATGTTGTATACAAGAGACATGTTTTGTATCTTTTGTACAGTAGTGACTCAGTCTATAAAGTACCTGTGCTGACTTGAAAGTGAATACAGTATAGCAGGGTTTTATTTATATCCACAATGGCAGTTTATTTTAATTATTAATATTATTCCTTTATTTTAAATTCAAACTGTAACATTAGGCTTCACTATATTTTTGTAGTAAAATATAATACTAAGATTTGGTATGCAGTTTATAGCTAATGCTATTTTTCTCTGATATTCAGAAATGTTGGTAGCAGGTTACCATCGTTGATAGTTTTTTTTTTTTTTTTTTTTATTACTGAAATTGGCAGAAGATACACTTTTCTTTTTTTTAAATGTATTTATTCTGACATCTCCTAATACATTATTATTCGGGAAAAGCATTAATGTTGTTGCTATAGTTACTTGCATAATATAGTGAAGTGATTCAAAGAATAGTGATTCACTGGATTTCTGTTTGGGGTGCCCACATTTACAATTTTAAGACATCTGCCATCCAATTGAAAATACATTGTTTTTTTTTCCCACTACCCAATCAGTCTTCTGAAATTAGGCTTCAAGAAGGTAGAAAAGCAGATGAGCAGTTTTTTTCTCCTTTTCCTCTCGTCATGGTTCTCTGAGCCAAAATGTAGCAGTGGTGGAGAAGGA